TACATTAGAGGAAATACTTGCATATATAATCTTAATACATGATTATAAAAATCAATAAAGTATAGATCTCTTCCAGTATTTGGCAAGAAGAGATCCAAAAAAGACACAGATGGAGAGGGGTATTGGAGAGAAAGAAGAGAGGCTACAGATAATAGAGACAAAGGGAGCAACCTTGGATTCAAGCCTGAAAGTAATATAACCTAAGAGCTTGTGTAGTGGGAAGTATACATTCTCAGGTATCCATTGCTAGAAATTACCAGAGGCTGAGAAATAGCCTTCTATCACAATCATAATCTCCCAAGCAAAAACATTTCCTATAAATAGGAAATAAACAATCTTATAAATAATTGAGTTTAACGCTTCTCTATATATACATATACACTTTTATATAGCTAATAGATAATAATGGTATGATAAAATGCTAGTGGAACATATTTAGATGGGTAAATGCAGTAACTTTGTCATTTATTATTATGTCATTAGATTTCCATCAAGCCTGAAAAGGGGCAGGCAGCAACACTATATAATCTTGTTTTGGATATAGATACTAGTTGTGTAATAATCTCAGAACCTCTTACATATATTTGAGAAAACCCTACATTATATAATATACAGAAACCAAGAATATAAATTATTAAATTTATGAGTAAGTTTTTGCTAATGAAAAATGGCAATTTTTATGTTACATTTAAGAATCTTTAAAAAAACAAAAAGAAAAAAATTAAAAGATGTCTTTTTATAACTAACAAAGTGAAAGAGATAACCTCAGGGAAAGGGCATCTATTAAACTTCAAATACCTTCCAAGACATGGCTGGCCCAGAAGTATGGAAGATCAGGAGAAAAAACAAAGTTAAGAGTGAAATGGAATTCTTGTTAATCTATTGTAAAAATGCTAGTTTTCCCCAATAATGCTATATAATTTGAGGAATATAAATTCATTAGAAAGTTTAACAGAAAAGACATTCTTTATATAAAAAATATTCAAAGAGAGCAGTAGTCCTCAGCCATTTGGGGTCATAAAGCCCTCTGAAAATTTGCTTGGACCTCCCCCAAGAAAGCAACACACACTTTTCTGCAATTTTAGTGGGCTTACGGCAGCGATTTTCAATCCTGCCTGCACGTTAAAATCATCTGAAAAGTTAACCAAAAATTCCAATGCCTGGATCTTACCCTCAGAAAATCTGATTTAGTTAGTTTGGGTTGGGTCCCAGGCATCAGCATTTTTTAAAGCTCCCTAAGTGATCCTAATATGAAGCCAGATATGAGATCCTCTATTCAGAAACTCCCTGAAATCTCTCCAGTCTTAATTAGTTCACTCGTTCAACAAAGATGTTAATTAATCATTCACAACATTTGATATCTAGCCAAGAATTTTGAAGAGTCCAAGAGACATGTGCTCCAATTTTCTCTTTGTTTCATAGTCACTGCCAATCAGCAGTCTGGCAGATTGCCAGTATGACTCCTATTTATAGAAAAATTCTCCCAAGGTCAGAAATTAATGATTCTCATTTCCAAACTAATGTAACCTTTCACATAGAACAGGGTAACCGATCTCTTAAACAAACATAAAGGAATGCAAAACAAAAAGAAAAATGTTTCTGAAGGTTTCCTTAATATCCTTCCTTCTTAATGCATTAGAATGTTTAAATGGACTAAGGAAAAATGTAGAACACAGGGAAGCACAGACCATAAAATATTAGCATTTTGAGAGTGTTTTATTCTAAAGCAATATAAAGCAATGTGATTCAGGAACAAATGCTTAGAGAAAGGATAATGAACAGACACAATGGGAAGAAAAATAAATACCTAATATTCTGGAGACAGTCATGCTAACAAAAGCCAAAGAAATGAGAAATAAAACAACATTTATTTAACATTATTATAAATATTGGTCCCAACATGCTTCCCAACTTACCCCATCCATTCACCTCCATTTCAAGATATATTCTATGTATATACAAACATATATATGTACTATTTTGTTATTAATAGACTCAGTCCATAAATACTATCTGTAACTTGTTTTTGCTCTTTATCATATAGTTTGGATATCTTTCCACTTTTCTTGTTTTATTTAAAACCTGCATAATGGAAAAATTGTGGATGTAGTATGACTATGTCATAATTCATTTAAACAATCCCTTATTGATGAATATTTAAGGTGTTTCCAGTGTCCTGCCCAAACGAAAGGACTGTTCTGAGACTTCTATAGTCCTTGGCCTCTATCCAAATAATATATATATATATATATATATATTAAACTGATTTCTCAGAAACCCTCATTCATATATATGCAGAAATTAAAAAGTGAGAAAATTTAACCTAAAAATTGTTTGAAATATTTTTGTGTACACTGAATTTAATAATTAATGAAGGTGACATATTATACCATGTAACAGTTTTCTTTTCATCTTTGGAAACTAACTAAAAAATTTCAGATCTTAAATATTTCCAAAGGCCTTAAAAAACCTAAGCACTGTGCTTATACTCCTTAATGCATAAAACCACACCAAGCAATAAACAAAAAATAAAAAACTAATACATAGAACCTACTATGTGCCAAAGACCATTCAAAACACTCTACATTAATTCATGCATGTAATCTTCACAACACTGTGAGTTGGGTGCCATTATTACTACCATTTTACAATTAAGAAAAATGAGGCATAAAGGAATTAAATAATCTGTCTAGTTTCACAATGGTCATAAACCGTACTGTCAGGATTCAGACCCAGGCAACTCACTATATTATTCTTGTACACATATCTTTGTATACTTGTAGACAATCTAAGGTAATTCCATAATATATATATATATATATATATATATATATATATATATATATATATATATATATCATATATGATGTATAGAAAGATTTGCCTCTTGCATTACATTAAACACACACACACACACACACACACACACACACATTAATGTAATTACTTTAGATTATCTTAACAGTGTCAACAGACACACTGAATAACTCACTATTGGAATAAAATTCTTGAGGAAAGACTAATCTTACACTCATATCCTGAATTTAGACATTGCTCAATGAAATGTAGCTAAAGTTGTGCTTCAGTAAGATGTAAGCAAGTAAATTTTCTATCACATTATAAAAGATTTATTGTCCTTAATTTATTACATTTTTGTTCATTTCTTCATCACCATAATTAAGAAATAATGATTTATGAGCATAACTAGTTTTGCTCTCATTATACTCTGAAAAACAATAAAACAAATTCTTCTTTGGCACAAAATCTCTTATTTTACATAAGGTTATAAAAGGCAGCTATTTTTAATTTTACAACATTAATCTCTAATATCTATATGCTCATTCTTGCTTGGTGTTTATTAAAATAAATTGATCAATTTTACTGTAAAGTCCTTCAAAGTATTAACCTTTGCAACCTTAAATACACAGTAAATATATTTTGATCCATAAATGAATAAATTATTTGGGAGCAATATAATGATTTAAAAAATAATAACAGGAGTAATTTATATCACATTTCTTCACCAAGCAGGACAGGAATTAAGAAACGGAATTTGTCACTGCACAAAAATTGAGAAACTCTACGATCCAGTTTACACCATGCCTTCAACTCTATTGTTTAGAGCAGCGTTTGTCAACCTCAGCACTGCTGATATTTTCACCAGAAAATTCTTTGTTGTAGGAAGCTGTCCTGCACACTGTAGTATTTTCAGCAGCATCCATGGCTTCTACCCATTAGATACCAGTAACGCCTTCCCATCTGATAAACAAAAATGTCTCCAGATATTGCCAAATTTCCCCTGGGGATAAAAATCACCCAGAGTGAGAACCACTGGTTTAGAGATAACTGACACTGTAACAGTATATCTAGGGCTTCAAATCTTGGGGGACGGCTTCAACAATCCCAATATGGCTAGTAGGAAAAACCTAATGCAGGGTACTCCCATGCCTCCATTCTTCTCATCAACAGTCAATCCACCATAGTTATTGAGCCTTCATCTTATACAGGTGATTCGACAAATATTTGTTAGTTTCTTCAACCCCATCTGGCCAACTTTAAAGATATTATACCCCTTTCCAAGAGCTAGTCCCAGGATCCTACCACTCAGTTACTTATCTACAACATTATAATGTTACTGAACAATAGAAAGGAGATTGTTTAATTATATTAGATGTGGACTTTTGGCTGAGTCTTTTGAGTAAACTTCCAACGGGTCAGATGATACAACATGCCCAATATTGAAGAGAAAATGAGTGCATAATCATTTCTAGCTGTGGTTCTGACACAGAAATAAGTGCATACAGTGCTTATTAATAGATATGTTTCTTTGTGTTGCGCCTGAAAAAAATCAAGAGGTAGGTTAAATAATTAAAAGTAGAATGCCTTAATCATGTTTTCTAAATTTAAAAAATGTACTATTAATAAGTTTTAATATTTGAGAAAGACTAAAAAACACATTAAGATTTCTCAAAACTCCTTTAAAATCTTATGCAACAACAAGAACAAAGTGAAGAAATTGATTTACTAGCCTACAGATATCCCTGCTAGAAGATATTCCTGCTTAAAGAGAAAAGAACTCAATTAAAAGTCAAATTTTTGTACTGATGAATGCTGCTGACATCTACGAGTCTCTTATTTCTAATACTCAGTGTCCTCATTTCCAAAATATTTCTGTCAATAAGTTTTGAGGATGATATGGGTTTTTTTAAAAAAGAACAAGTTTTGAAAAGAATAAAGCATTATTTCGATATATTAGCAATCACTGCATGAATACATCACACAGAATTTTGAATTTTCAGAATTACCAAAATTAGTGGATAATGAGTAAAAGTTAACATATTGCTCAAAACGCTTCATTCTGACCAAACTACAATCAGTTTATTTTTAACTTACTTGTCACTACTTGCCAAAAATAAAAATTGAGGTTTTTAAATCTGATAATGTACAACTATAAATAATAAAACTAATATTTAAAAGGCTCAGGCTTTCCAAATACTTACATTGATTGTAAGCTTTCTGCTGTTAAGTTATTCCACATAATCTCATTTGCCTGAAGATTTTCATTGTCTTCTAGTAAGGAAGTATCAAACTCAATTTCTTGCTCTTTAGCAGCTGATGTTCTAGTAAAGCATGCCAAATAATTTTGATCAATATGAATATCCTATCATAATATATCATAGTACACACCAAAGGCAGAATATTTTTTTCTCATCCAAAATTATGTTAACAAAGTAGAATAAACACAAATAGAATAAATCAAATTAAACCACAGGATCAAAGATCTAGTTATATAATTTCAGCCTTAATTTCCTCATTTATAGACTACAGATATTAACTGGTTTTATTCCTGTCGCAATGGTAATGAGTATAAAATAAGATGACAAATGCATGGAAAAGCAATTGGTGCATTATAAAGTTTAATACACAGTGTCACAGTGTCATAGTATTATTATGTAAGTCTTAAAAAATATATATAATTTCATAGATTAAATATGGATTTAAGCAATGATGTAGTTACAACTAAAACAATTTTAACAATCATTATATAGTTATCATCATTGAGAAAGGACTTTGAAAATAATTAAAAGCAGACAAATTATCTGAACTATCCAATGTCCTAACAAGTTCTTCAGTATTTCTTATTTTAACTTGGTTAAATGTTATATGATAGAAAAAATACTGTCATCAATACTGAAAGAAGAATGAAAATATCATACATACCTGTGAACATCTATGAAATTATTGTATTCTGTGCTAGGGTCTATCTGCTCCACCGACATTTGAATCTCTTTATGCACATTCACAATTTCTTCTGTAACAAGACTAGTTATCTGGCTGTATTCATCAAATATACCTTTTCTGAAAACAAAAATAAAATTTTACATATTTACGTTTATCAAGAAAACATAGGACTAAACCAATTCAGAATAATAAACTTAAGAAATGTAATATCAATATTTACAGATGGTGATTTCATGTACCACATTTTTTCATATACCTGGATTATAAAGTGAAGAGATTATACAAATGTACAGATTAACAATTTACATGTGATATAATAACTGCAAATAATATAGAAAAATGCATTACCTTCTCCAACATCTATTTGAGATGTCTAAATGTAAGGTCAGTGTTGACCACTTTCTATTTCTAAATATTATCATAGAAATGTTGGATTCCATAACATGGAACTGCGGATCAACCCCTGTCGCTTTAACGTTTCTTTCCAGTGTCTGCTACTTCCTCACATGCCCTATCACTTAGTTCTTCCCTTGCCCCTGAACCTCTGCTATTTACTATATATTTAATTAGAGAGTAAAACTGGTTCTCTACATTCAATGCTATCTAGATCTCTTCACCTGACCTCCAGTCAGTAGCAAAAATGTCATAAAATTGATTATCCTTATCTAATAAATTCAAAAGCAAAAACTATTCGGTTTCAAAGACCCAGTTCCCATCTTAAGAACGCTATGCTGTAAAAATATACCATTGGTCATTAGTGGTCTCAACAAGAGGTATGGACAGATAGGCTTATCCTGCATATGCCCAAAGAGAGGCATTGTTTGTGTTTCTTTTCCCAAATCATTAAAACATTTCTCCTATTGTGAATTATTCTCTCAATTACTTTACTTTGAATAGCAAAATACTGTTTGGATAAAAAAAATTAGATTTAAACTGCTTCAAGCCATGTGGTTTGGAATGATTATAGAAATATATCTGACACAATTTTTTTTTAAAGGTGGATACAGAGAAATTTAATGGACATTTAGTAAATATCACTGGGATTATGGCATCATAATTGAAAATACTGAATGATACAACTGTAAGTGAGCATATCTAGGTAACTATTATAAAGCAATACAATAAGTGGTTATGATGTAGAAATCATTAATGTACAAATGAGGGAAAAAATGGATGAAGTCTCCTAATGCTATACAAATGAGTATTTGTGACATGGGATTCATTTAAGTGATTTCATCATGTTTGGATTTTTGAAATGCTAAATCTAAAATAATTTATTAGAAAGTAAAGATAATATGCTGTGGGAAACCATTCCACGTCTCAAAAAGATGTTCTAGTGATGATGAAGGTGCCATTATTAAAGATTCATATGAAGATTCATTTGAAAAAAATATTGATTCATTAAATGAGAGTAGGAAAAGAAATATTTATAAATCAACAATATGTATTTAAAGTAGACAACTAGATTTATGAATTAAATATTTTAAGCAGACATTGCACTATTTTATCAGTACTCTTAAATGTATGCATATTTAAGTTGACTAAAAGCATTTATCTTCTTACTGGGAAAATGGGGAATCATCTAAACCAGTTAATGAAGTCTACCAAAGGTAGTTTATCTTTTTCTACTGTCTTGAATCAATAAGTATGGTCCACATGTGTGAATTTGACCAAAGTATATTGTTAGCTCCTGAAAGACAAAAATTGTGGCCTACTCCTCTCTATATCCCCAAGAAGCACCAACCAATGTGTTTTGCATAGTAGAACTTTAATAAATATTTGTTGATTTTAATCTCATACAAAAAGGTGACAATTAAACCTTCAAAAAATTCTTTCCTTCGGGCTTTTCAATTGCTCAAAATTTAAATACTCAACCCTTTGGATAAGAATACCCATTTCTTAACACTTGTCAACTAATAAATGTTTTTCCATATAAATTTCTAGCTAACTGGGGCAAAACAAAAACATACAAAAAGAAGGTCAATTTGGGAAGCTAGCTAGAAGGTTTAGGAGATGAGTATCAAGTGAAGAGACACCAGAAGTGACCATTAAAAAGGACCAAAATAAAACAGGTCTGAAACACCCACTGGTCTGGGTCAATAAGGAAACTTACAAAGCATGGACAACTTTTATACAAGAGCTTAACTAGGAGAGAAAATAACGTTAAAATCATTTTATGAAGGGAAATCATTTTACATCTAATGGAAAATATCTTACAGTGCTTTTATCATTTCTTCTTGCATCTTTTGTAAGGAGTCCAGGAGCAGAGGAAGTGTGGTATCATAATACTGATTCTGATGAAGCTGGGCCCCTTTTAATGCCAATACATACTGATTGTGCAACGTATGAAGTTTCATTGTGGCTTTGTCGTAACGTTCCTTGGCCTTTTCAGTTTCTTTCCCTGAAGAGATCATTGAAGAAAGTTGGCAAAGATATAGTAAAAAAGTTTTATCTTCACTGTGTGAAAACTGAGTTACTGCTATTTTGTTATTTTACATATATTATGAATAATCAAAAGTTTATTGAACATACACTATGTGCTTGTGCTTAGCTCTATGCAAAGTACTATTTATTTGCTAACACTTTGTACAGAGGTTGCTCTGAAGGAGGCATGCAATACAATAAATGTTTGGTGAATGAATGATAATGTACAATTTTTTAATAAAATTATACAGAGATATGATCCTTTTCATGTTCAAGGAGTTTAAATTAAAACAAGAGTGCACATCAAACTGTATAACCCAGACAACAAGAAAGTTTGTAAATAATGTTAAATTTTGAGGTCTATATTTGAGGTACCAATAAAGACAAGGGAAGTCAGAGGGCACTTTATAGAGAAAACAGACCTTAAAAGATGAGACAAGTCTGGAAAGGTATATGAAAGAGAGAACAGATAACAGCTCCTCCCTCTCACTCTCTCTTTCTCCCTTTCTTCCTTTCATTCAATGAATATTATTAACTGGGATTGTGCTAAACTTTGGGAATTCAGTAATTGGCAAAACAGAGTCCTTGGCATAAAACTCATGGTCTGATGGCTTAAAATGCTGAGTGAAAACAAGGAAACAATAAACACTATTACATAGGCAAGGAAAAAAAATAAGCTCAAAGACAGCAAATTTTGAGGAAGAGAAGGAAATATGTCTGTATAAATACGGCAATTTGAGGTTGTGAGTGACATGGAAATCAAGCAGAGAAATTGACGTGATGTGGGAGAAGTCTAGGAGATCATATTATGAACTAGAACATTTTGTGGTTCCTTTAATGAAATCATTCAGAAAACATTTACAGATTGATAATATAAACAAATGTCTATAAGTACATAAAATTTTTAAGTAGATCTTTAATTTTTTATGTAAACTGAAGAAGCATTTCTTGTCCACTATTTGGATTTAGGGAATACATTTTTCCAAATATTTATTAATTTTTGCTCTTTCCACAGAGAGTTCTCCAAATGAATCATCTCTCAAAATAGATCTTATGGTGAGAATTTTTGACACAAGGCGCTCTCCTCTGCTGCCACTCTGTTAGGCTCAGCACCTGACTATTCCCTATGGATAGGGATCAGGAAAACATTCCCTATCTGAGAATGTCTCCAGTCCAGGGCCAAAAGCAGAGAAAAAGAGTTTCTGCAGAGAGAGGAGACCTCAGATCCTACAGACCATGCCCAGGGAGAGCAACAGGAGTATTCCCCTGATTTTCCCATCACCCCCCTAATTCTGAGGCACAGGAACACATCCAGCTGGTGGAAAAGGAAACAAATCTTTCCAGCAGACTGGTATGTCTCTACTACCAACAAATTCTAGTGCTTCCAAATACTAGAACCACCACTGACTTCTAGGAAGCAGCACATAATTATTTTACAGAGTGTAATTCTCTAGACATGCTCCATTAGCTGGTTTCTGCATATGGCAATGTTAATAATTGTCCAAGTTATTCACAAAATGCTGCCCTAGATAAGCTGTATCACTTTATAACCTGAAGAACTTGATTAGGAAATAATTTAATCACCAGAGTATCTTTCCTAATCCCTGTCACTGCTGACTGGAAAGACGTTCTAACTCTAGAGTGGGAAGATAGGAGCAAATATATTAATTCAGTTTTATTTGAAGGAATCAGAAAAATATAACATTAGCCACTAAAGAAGTGGGTTTTCTCACTTTTTGACTATAACTCACAGGATAATATATTTGGATATTTTATGTCATGAACCAGTAAATAATCATACAAATTTTTAAATACATAAATGATATAAGAATTCATGAAATAATTCTTCCCCTTACTGTGAAGGATGCCCTGTGATGTTTTTAAATTATATTTCAATTTTTATTCTTAAATTTTCATTCAGAAACCAATAAATTTTTTGCCTCAGTTAATATAAATCCCTAGGGAATTTTTAATGCATTCTATATGGCAATAGGGATAATTTTTTTAACTTAAGAATTAATCACTTCAATAATACTAATCACAAATGATTTTTAACATTCTCAGGAACACACTCCCCTATATGTTCAGTTACAATAGTTTTGTCATAGAATACTGTATTTATTTACCCATAAACATAGCTACTTAGCATCATTCTTGCAGGAATACATTTCAAAAAAAGTCCCCAAGAGTCAATGCAATTGATACATCTGTGGTCATCGCCCAGCCAGCCCCGCAGCCTTCCTCTAAAACAGCGGTTCTCAACCTTCCTAATGCCGCGACCCCTTAATACAGTTCCTCATGTGGTGGTGACCCCCAACCATAAAATTATTTTCATTGCTACTCTATAACTGTAATTTTGCTACTGTTATGAAGCGTAATGTAAATATCTTTTTGTTTTCCAATGGTCTTAGGCAACGCCTGTGAAAGGGTCGTTCGACCCCCAAAGGGGTCGCAACCCACAGGTTGAGAACCGCTGCTCTAAAATGACAGCGCCTTTTTCTCCCTACCCACACAAGTCAGGAGGAGATTCCTACATGAAGCTGACACCCAAGATCCACACTGCACACCCAACCAAAGAGCAACCAATCCTTTGGCTGGGAGCTAAATCACACTGATGTATGAATGATAGTGAAGGTCCCCAAACACTTAATGCAGAAGCTGCCAGAGTAACCTTTTCTAAAGCCCTTTTCTTTAGTTTTTTGGGGAGGGGTGTGTTGTTTGCTCTTTTGACTCACCATTTTTAAGCTAGTTTAAGTTTTTGTTACTTGAAATCCAATAGACAATTCAAAAGATCATTGCACTTATGCAGATACATTAATTCCAAATAAAACAGTTTTCTAGAGTCCACATGTTCTTAAGGAAATAAGGCAAGCATTTACCAGGCAGGAATATTTGAGTATTGTACTCTAATTTATTAATTTTTATTATAAGTTAAAAAGTATAACTAGTGAGTGAATTCCATTCTTTATGTCACTTTTTAAAAAATATTACATTTTATGTAAACTCCATTATTACTAATTAGTTATTACTTGGATTTTTTAGTATATAACCTCTGGAGTCAAACTCTCCATACATTTTCAAGAAAACATTTAAACAATTTAAACTACCCTTCTGTCCTCTTATTTGCACAGATTTTTAAGTTACACACCACTCATCTTTCTAGGTGGTACACAATGATTCCCTAAATACACAATACTCAGCGCACTAAGATTTTATAATCCAAAACAACCATAGAAAAGTTAAGAAGTGCTCAGTTACTTTTCTTTCTTTATTAAATATGGCGTAAGGCAACTTGAAGAAGACTATTATAGGCAAAATCTAATTAACAACAGCTTATGGGTCATTAGGTCATTAAGAGGTCATTAACACAAACATAGAAAAAATGGAATGTCTCTGAAAACATCCAAGGCAGAATGCATTATATAAAAATAATGTTAATAATAAATTGTTTTAAAACAGCTTTGGACTTAAAACTGAAATCGGGGGCATGTTTTAATAGGGTTTTTTTTTGGGGGGGGGTTGTACTCTATAGCTCACATACACTTGTGCATTTGGTTATAAGGTGTACTTGTGCATTCACACAATCAATTGATCAACCTATCTATATCTCCCTCCCACCCTCCCATCCTGTGGGAAAACAGAAGTTTCAAAAACGTGTTCACTTGGCATGGTTTGGAAAGAAATTATATTGTAGTTTTTCATGATTCATTTTAAAATAAATATTTAGGGTCCCACTGAGACTACATGAGTAAATTCAAAAAATAGTAACACTATGTGAAAATCAAAGTTACAAATAAAATTTTAAAAATTCCATTTACTTAACAAAATATATTGCAAATAACTACCTAATATGATACTTGCCACATCATCTTTTTGGCTCAGAATATCTCAGATCACTATTAAACTTTCTTAACTTTATAAAACTACAATATTTCTCCATGTATAAGATGCACCCTTTTTCAAAAAATTTGGGGTCTAAAAACTGGATGCGTCTTATACAGTGGTTGTAGGTTTTTTTTTTACTTGCATTTCCTGCTTTTTCACGCTTGTTGTTTTTGCGCTCACTGTTTCGCACTTGGTACCGGTATATTACAGTAGGTTATGTTTTACCATGTTCTGCCCAGAAATCGTTCAGAAAAGATTTTCATACAGTGCTGAATTCAAGTTAAAAGTGATCCAGTTTGCAAAAGTGAATGGAAATCATGCTGCTGAACGTAAGTTTGGTCCTCCTCCAACTGAGAAAACAATCCAAGACGGGCTGCAGGAAAAAGAAACCCTACTGAAAACACGGCAGAAAAAGGCCATGAGAGGCAAGTCAGCAAAATGGCCAGATTTAGAGAGGCAACTGAAGATATGAGTTGAAGAACAAAGGGCAATTGGAATTCCTGTGTCCACAAAGATGGTTCAACATGAGGCTAGAAGAATTGCTGATGAAAAAGTTAATAAAACTTGAGTTCAGGACCGGCCGAGTGGCGCATTGGTTAAGGGCTGCCTTGGGATGCCAGCTCTGAGCAGCAGGACCCTGGTTCGGATCCCACATGGGGGCCAGTGACACTGCCCTCTACAGCTAAGGTGGTGAACAACAGCTCGATCTGGAGCTGGGCTACTATGAGTTGCCGGCAACGGCGTAGGCTGTAGCACCTGCTGCAGTGGGCTGCCATAAGCTACCGTGTGTGGCTGCCAGCCAGTGTGAGCTGCCAAGAGCACCATGAGTGGCCATCCAATGGCAGGCGAGCAACTGCCTCACCCGGGAAGAGCGCAATGATAATACCAACATGGGCCAGTGAAGCAATGTCCTCCACAACTAGACTGAAGAACAAAATGACAGCAACTTCTGCTCCCCTTCCCCTGATTCCCCAGAGCTGTTCCCCTCCCCCAATTCCCCAATTTAAAAAAATCTAAAAACAAAAACAAAAAAAACTTGAGTTCAATAACTTTATGTAATACATTTTTTTTCAAATTTCAGGCCCCAAAATT